GTTAGTTTAAGGAGTGGAAGGTAATAATATGTTTTACGTGAACGATGACCTTCTATCACCTGTTTATTTTTGGCGCACCTAGAGTGCATATTTGAGTATATAAAAATTAGATAAATGTAGCGTTTTCAAGCTTCAAGAACTCTACAGCTCGCTTCATCTGATACTTCTATACTTCTGTATGTGAGTGACAGCATGATAATGCTTTTTTCCATGTGGAGCAACAACTCGTAGGAACGCTGATCGTGGAGGCCGCATATTCACAAAAATCGACAAGGTGGTCAATGGATGAGTGCATGATAAAACTAACATCCAATGTTGATTTGAACCTTTTTCATAGTATGCCCGGACTGCAATTTCGTTTAAGTATAGTGAACTTCTTCTCTTTGTTTCGTGTAGCGCGATTCTATTGTAGTCAATATGGTTTGCGGCTTTCAGAGACACTTAGAACTCATGAGCTGAGGCTGACCTTCTTACACTATACGAGAAGTTGAAAACAGCCTCTCCATGTTAGGTCACATTGTTGTTAGGATGATCTATGGACGTCTTGCTTTTGATTCAGAGATTCTTCGCCCTTACTGGTATTGCTGCGATTCGTAAACGGCAGGTGAACATGATGTGGAAGGTACTGAGCCTGGCATGAATTCAAAAAGCTATATCATTTTCCACTATACCCTAGATAGCCGAGCTGAAAGGGGCGGAAGGTTAGTAGAATGGATTTTCTTTATGAAATGTAAACTGACTTAGAGAGTAAGAAACGCTTATTCCAGATATACCTTCTTACTTATTGCGGCTTTCTGGGCAAGGAGTTTTGGAGGTTTCTACGGACAAAAAATTTAATGCATGATTAGTGTAAATTCAGCCGTTGACTATTTTAGCGTTCCGAAATGGCAGAGTTAAATGTATATGTTCAGTTCAAGAATAATAATTACACAGAGCAACCCGAAAATTATTCGAGCCATAGGAAAAATGTTACGACTATTTCGTTAGCAGCACATGCGAATTTGTCCTCATAGAAACCTTTGTAACTCCTCGACCAGTAATCCGCATCAGATGAAGAAGATAGATCTGGAATCAGCGTTTCATGCCCTTTAAGGCAGTATCCATCTCATATCAAAAAGCCACTTCGATTAACCTTCCTTTCTATGTGAGTAAAAGCTGTTCCAAGGTAGTTGCAGCCTTTTGAATGGGCTGGCTTTCCTCTAGCGAGGTTGGTCGCGTTGTCCGGTAGTGAGCAATGGGAGACGGTCGAATGGCGCATGTTGATTGATTGTCATTACTCAGAAAAACCGAGTAAAAAGTTCGAGATTGGTTTAGTACTTCCGGAATTCAACTAGTAATCCTCTGTTACTATTTCTGTTATTATGACAAAACTTTAGGATCTTGGAAACCCCGTTTTTGTAGAGTACAAATCGCTTCTGGCAATGACGACTGCCGAGAGCGCGCCTTTCGACATACACCAGGGAGCAACTGGAGCTACGTGGCTGGAACCTGGTAAGGAATAAGAGGGCGTGCTGTTCACCTTATTTATTCAGAAATTGTTTATGGCGTTTATAGACTTTACCATTAAACTGAAAGGGTTTGTCGTTGCATTCCGAAAAACGTAGCAACTCACCTTCTGCCTTCTAACGAGGATTTAGTGGAAGTGCTTGCTTCTAATGAAAAGAGAGCGCACAGCTTCTGTATATGCATACTGTTCTTGACTAACATTGTCTTATTCAGTGCACATAGAATTTATATGCTCTACTTTAGTGTCAAAGCAAAACTCTCCCCCAGGGCCAAGTTTGTGATGCGACTGTCGCAACGGGGGGCCGTAAAGAGGGTACCTAAGGTGGGGGAAGGGGTCGTAAGAGAAGGCAGTTAGGCTAAATTACCCTAAGCTTGAAAGGGAATCGAAAAGCAGATAATTAGTTCTGTTCTTCACAATAAATGTGTAAAAAAGTGGAAATCAGAATAAAAAAGATAAAGAATCTGTAGAAATTCTCAAAAAAAAACATTTACAAGAGCTCAAAACACTTTTGAAGGATTTATGATTTGATAAAAATGCTAAATCTACCGATTGCCCTAGAAATCTTGCTTCTGAAGCCCTCCTGAAGTCTCACACACTCGACAAAAGCAAATATCTTTACCAGCTGTAACAATCATAAATTTCTAAATCTTTTTGTAATGTTTTTCACGGGCCCATATGACTTATCTGTACTTTGGAGATGCTCTTCTATGTCACCGCAAAATTTGGTGTCATTTTGTCAACTGTGGATTTTCTTATGATTTTATTGGTAGCAAAAAATCAGGAAAGGGGGGTTGTATCTGGGTAGCATCTAAATTTCTTCGGAGCTATTGAGGCTTGTTGGCTGCAATTCTGCTGTAGTATGAGGTCATCCTCCAGTTTTCCCTCATAAAAATTGCAGACTGTTTTACAACTTCTCTGGTACGTTACAAAATTTTAAGCTCAAAAATCCCAGTTTTTGCTTTTTAGGATCGCATCTAAATTTGCGAGAGTCGCATCTAAATTTTCGAGCTTACTGCTCCTCAAAAGCTGAAACTTTTTTTATGGATAGTCTGGGCACTATGCTACAGCTGTGTTCTGCAGCCTCTCAGTTTTTTCCTGGCTTTAGTTACGAATTTCCAAACTACCGTGCTCATGCACGATAGTTTGGAAATTCGTAACCAAGGCCACGTCGTTCTGGACGGCGCTCAAGCGGTTTTTTCCGCAGAAAAAACTGTGGAAGAGGTGAGAAGTAAGCTTCTTGGTCGAAAACATCTTTTGAGGTTCAAGAATGTCATTTTTTCTCCGTGCACAAATTTATGTCGCATACGGGAATCGAATTTGCTGGTCTGAAGTATGCCTGAAAATTCAAAATAAAACTTGCAGATTCTCGAACATTATTGAAGGTGTGTATGTATGCTACAGATGCCGGACGCACCCATTGGCCTAGAAATTTGCTTCAGAAACTCACTGAAGTTCTCACACCGGTGTTTTTTGAGGTTGACATTCGTTTATGCAGGTTACCGCGAGCAATGTGGGCAGGGGAGGTAAGGAGGATAAATGGGGGAGGGTGCGGGGGGGGGGGGGGTCGTACGGATGGTTTTCAAGGGGGGGGATCGTAAATGAGAGTCCCGGATCGCATCAACACGCTTGACCCTGCTTTCCCCTGTTGTTCTGGTCAAGATGTGCACAGTTGTTTGTTTCAAACTTTCAACTGGCTTTTCTGAAGTTTCAGAGGTTGCCCAATATCTTTAGTTCGAAGCCCTAAAATCCTATTTTTCCATGTCTGCATACAGGGTAATAACAACTTTTTCGTTTTAAACTTGACTAGATAAGTGCCCGTAGTTGCGCGGTCTCTTCTAGTTCCTCAGAAATTGCATGTTGACATCGCAAATCTTTGTCTCCGAAATTTTCATTGCCGTAGTGCCTCAAAGTTATATCCTCCATATCTTTTAAGAAAATATCCTAGACATCCCAGAAGCCAACTTTCTCAAGGTTGATCTAGCCAAGTGCCCTAAACTTCCCACCCTCTCAAATTGCCAAGTTCCAAATCTTTCCATTTCTGCAAAAGTTTTTATGGTCTTGGTGTTCAAAACATCACCGAACCTTGAAGGCCACTGTGCCTATTTTTTACCAAAGTAAAGAAAGGCAGTCTGAGGAAACGTAATTCCAGCGTTTATGAGTATTACTACTGACAAGGGAACGATCCCAACTTAAGGTGGCGAATTGGAATGATCTGCATACCATTAGATTCGTCTTGATGAGCTGATTTCAAATCTGTCTTCCATATCTGCGACACCGTTATCTGCAAAAAGTTATGAGCGGTTGAAAATGTGAAGTTATCGGGGTTTTAATGCATAATATGCTTTAAAATCCAACTTGGAAGTACACGACTAGCATGATATTGAGTGTAGTGATTCCAGGGAATGCTCAGATTCTGAAAAAAAAAATGTTTTCGAACAGCTAAGAAGCAACTAAAGTTCTTTGGTAAAAGCTATGAGCAATGAAAAGTCCAAATTTGGCAAATGTACAGCGCCATACCTCGAAAATTAGTTGTTTAAAAACACTTATCTGTGTTTCTCTAGAATCTGAGCACTCCCTGGAATCAGTACACTCAATATCATGCTAGTCGTGCACTTCCAAGTTGAATTTTAAAACATATTATGCATTAAAACCCCGATAACTTCACATTTTCAACCGCACATAACTTTTTGCAGATAACGGTGTCGCAGATATGGAAGACAGATTTGGAATCAGCTCATCAAGACGCATCTAATGGTATGCGGTTCATTCCAATTCGCCACCTCAAGTTGGGATCGTTCCCTTGTGAGAAAAAGACACCTACTAGAATCTAAATAAGTGTTCTGAAACGTTTTTGTGGAACATTTGACAAAATATTTAACGGATTCAAACTTCTAAGCTTTCATAACTCCTTCCTAGTCCTTCAGCAAATAATAAACATTTGTCCAGGTTCGGCTTCCTTCAGCAAATAATAAACATTTGTCCAGGTTCGGCTATCTCTTAACCTTGGCATGTGGATACTCGTAGTTGGATTGAAATGAACGTTTAATTGCGATGCTATACAACTTGTGGGGTCAAGTAGTATAAGTATAACCGACCCTTGTCAGCAGTAGCGGATAGCACTATCAGTACCTTAGCAACCACAAAAGGTAGTAACATTGGGCAGGTAACATTTAACACGGAAAAGACGAGACGTATTGTACCAGCTAGCATAGAATAACAAATAGACATGCAGGGCTTTTGCCTTGCTAAGAGCCACGTGCAAACCAACAGGCAGACGGCTAGTTACTTCAGCATAAAAGCATTACTAAGGTAGACCGAAATGCTTACAACTGCTCATAGCTAATTGCATGATGCTCAAATTCAAAAGTTCATACTGCTTTATAAGTGTTGAAAAAACCGCTTTATTAGATTGTTTAGATTCAAACTGGGGCCAGGGAGAAGTTAGCGACTACGATGTATACAAGGATAGGCACAAAAACTTTATTCTGAGAAATCAAGCATCAGCAACGGAACATCTTTTTGTTACCGGAAATGCAATTGTAGATAAACTGTACAGTCGATACATAGTCTTGCACTAAAAATACCAAGTTGCTTTATAGACTTTTAAAATAATTGACTATCATTATGTATTCAATAAATGTAGCCTTTTTGGATACATATTAGAAAATTACTTCAAAACTTAGTCAAAAAGTCGAATAAAAATCGAACGTAACTATTTGTAGTGCCTCTTGACTAGAGAGGATAGATATTTGGACAAGACAACCTGGTATTTCCTACGACGATTTTGAAAAAGCACGAATAAAGGCTTCGACCAGCTTGCATTGCTTCAAGATGCCAACAATAATTTTTCTTTTTCTCATTCAAGATGCACATAATTTCCTTCCTTTAAATTTTGAAATGAATCAATTTGTTGAGAATGTTTTGTCACGAGTCGAAATTTGGTGCAAGACTTATCTATCAATGTACTAACTTTTGCTCAATTCTACTTTTCTAACGTCATAAAATTTTACTTTCTGTCCAAAATGTGTGATGTAAGTTGATGGTATGTCGATGGTGACTTTTCGAGCAAAACGCTGAAATCATAATAAAACATTTTAAATTTCTAACAACAATGTTGATCGAAGTATGCACATACTGCTAATGAAATGTTGCAATCTTACCCTGCCGCATTTATTGTAAATGTATAACACGGGTTCAATGTCTGACCATTCTCTGGCCCTACCCCACAGTTTGAAAGCACCATATTTGTCAGTTTTGCCTTTGTCCATCAGCCGATCGAACACTAAAAACATTTGTCTCTTTCCAAAGCTAAGCTACATGCAGGCGTCAACTCGACTCACTGAGTTCCTTTTCGTAAAGTTTAACTGAGACTCCTTTGGCTGGCTTGCCTTTACAGTAAACAAGTCCTTTCACACCGGCACTTTGTAGTCTACCAAAGTTCATCACGCAATGGCATGAGGATGCAAAAAGTAGGAAAATGAATGCTTGCATCCTAAACGGCTTTCATTCTGAGAGTTCGTTTCACAAGTCGCACCGTAAACTAGTGTTACAATAAAGAATGCAATATCAGCTACTAGCAGGAAGCCCTTGCTGAATGTTTGGAGTTAAGCGACTGTCGTTTGACGGACTTTTGTCTTTGTGGGTTTACTTCGATAGCCTTCTATTCTGCTTCTTCATTGCAGAGGTCCCTACCAAGTCACTGCCTTGTAGAGATATACTAAAGGGTTTTAAGTGGTCTTATGAGTTGATGTGTGGATGTATTAGGTTGTTGCATAAGTTTTGTTACACTTACCGGAGAATCTTCAATACTAAGAATTTTTATCTCTAAGAAGTAGGAATTGCGGATTTATTAGATTTTCAAAAATATTTCCGAATTATTTTTGGCAAATTTCCAAGTTAACGTGACTGTTAACGCAACTTAAACTTCCGGACTTCCTTCGTATTACTATCAATGCTCCCAGAAGTCCATAGCATCTATAAAGATGTAAAAGAAAAATGGGAAAATTTTTAGTAAAGAAAACTGGGGGTGGGTAGCTCTTCCTCCCTTCCTCATACAATACCGCTCCTAGATTGTGCAAAATTTCCGTGAATGTCTTCGTGAATTCCGCGGAACCGGTAGTTCGCGACTTCCCGTGTTTTCCCGACATTCATGGAATGCACATTCTCTGACGGTGTTGTAGTCAATAATGAGACTTTGCCAAATTTCAGGATTTTCCAGAGGAAGACGAAGAAATTGTAACAGAACTTATGTAACAGCTGATACTAATTGAGGGCAATCTTGCTTCTTTTGTTGAATATCCCGCACCTGAGTAAGACTCCAATATGAAGAAACTGGTTTATTTGTAGCCTTATGCTGATTTAGTGTGCAAAGCAAAAAAATAAGTTCATATTACACCGTATGGGATGAAGATAAGAGAACAGGCTGAATATAAACGTGCTATTTTTTCTTAACACGAAGCGAGGTTTGAAGAAATCGTATAACACTCTCATTCTAAGGACCACAAGCCGCGCGTTTCTATTACCGTTTAGAATGAACACATTAAACAAAAGTAAATTCAGGAATTGTTTCATTTCTTTATAATTCCGGTAAACTCGAAGGTCCTGGTTTTTCAAATTCACTTATTTCTGTTTTTATTGGAAAGAACTGTTAACAAAGTTATGAAGTTTTCATGATTACAATTTGAAACTTGAGGTCTATGATTTGATATTAAGCTTTCCGCAGGGCGATCGAGGTCGAATTTTATTGCAAAAAGCAAGGCAGCAAAAAGTACGTACTTCAAACACTGAGCGAATCTCATCAATTTGTGATCTGTTCTTCTATAAAGGCAGAATTTTGGCATTAGTAAACCTTATGCAGACTTCCAGAAGATGACTAGCAGGCTAATGACTAAGCTGTGTCTCATGGTGAAGCACAATATCGATTACCAAGAAAAAATGTTCTCAACAAATTTTATAGGCCATAGAAATTCAATGAAATCTTACTGTTCTCTCGAACGATTTCTTTATCGTGTAAATCAAAATTTTTTGACTTTTTTCTTGAAAGACTAATGAGTTCGAAGAGGAGAGGAACAGCAGCGAGAATTGCCGCAGGATCATTAAATAATTTGAGAGAAGCGACTAATACGACAGTTTAAAGCTGCTGATCAATATATGTATTGCAAAAGAGAGATTATCCTTTGGGATACTTACTTACCTATTGTTGGATACCTAAACGCCCGTACTCACGTGACATACGAGCTCTGGCATAAAAGCTTCCAATGCCCCAACTCCCTCGTTTCACACATCCACGATCTTCTCAGTTGTTGTCGGTGGCTGCGTCCACGATTTCCAAGTGTAAAAATCGTATCCTATTTCTGGGCTGGCCCATTCGTCCCACAAACGTCCCATGTCGTTGAAGGTCTTCCTCGTTTTGCTTTGCAAGGAATCCAATTTGATATACTTAGTGTCATGTGTCGTCTGTCCTCCTCATGATGTGACCGGCCCATCGATACTTCGTTTTTGCTTATCCCCTTGGGTCACAAAGACGATACATTTCTCTCATATTCTCACTGCAAAGTCCGATAAGAAGTATTTATGTGTCGGGTCATTTTCAGAAGCTACGCCCAAGAGCTGTGTGGATGGTAGAACTTTCGACGTGGCTACAGTGTTGGCCCAAGCCGCAGCTGTGTAACACAGCGCCGGGAGAACGGTTGAGTTGAACAGGAGGGTGCGAAGCTCCGGATCCGTTATTGGTCGGTGACTTCCTTCAGAGACTCGAAAGGGCCCAAGCTGCTCTTTTCTCTTCTGTTAAGGTTCTTTCTTTTAAGACGTTCTTCATGTTTATCATTCTTTCTTTTAAGACGTTCTTCATGTTTATCAAAGTTTCGCTAGTGAGGAGGGTGAGCTTCTCAGTCCCATTCTGTAATCTTCACAATGGGCACTCTTCATAAACTGAGTCTTTTCCCGATGTGGCAATCAGAGTTTTTCCCTACTTCGTTGAGTTCCTCCACCATCGTCTTGCCTTAGTAATTCGCAGGAAAAGCGATCTTGTCTTTGAAACAAAGATTTGAGAGAAACATCCCTGGCTCGTATGCCTCTCTCGTCCCAGTTTAGTGACTTCTTAACCCACTATAAGGCTGCGGAGAAAATTTCAGCATTGTATCGCTTGTCCACCCTTCTTTGCCTATTGGGATGATTAGTGACGTTGAGATAGCTTTACAGTCGGTGCAATTTTCAAAGCGACTAAAGGGACAGAAAGACTATAGAGACTATAGGTGCACGGATAAGATTACTGTGAAAGCGTGCCGCTATGTTGGAAAGTATTGCAGCGCTGCTCGCTTTTTCTCATGTCTTAAGACACCTCAAAGGCAAGCGAATTGTTGGTAAGGAGAAATTTGATGGATCACTACATTAGTATGTCGAAATCCCCTGCTTCAATCCTCATTTGTTCTTCTCAGGTGCATGTTCCACTGTTGGTAACAAGATTTAAAGACGACTTATATAATAAGAAGCTTTTTTTGATATGTTTGATTTATTAGAGTAGTAGTAGAATTAGTTTGAAACACACAGCCGAAAAAATCGAGATTGTTAAAGCCATAAAAAACTTTCTATTACGTTCTAGTTTCTTTTACAAGGAAAGGAGATATTGATGCAGCGACCATAAGCGCTACTTAATCAGGGCTCGGCACAGGTGGCTTACAAGCAAGCTGGATATCGTTTTTGGGGAAAAAGCAAAGGGGGTTTCGTTTTTGTGACCGAAGACACACGCAAAATTGGCGAGGTTTTTTTAGTCGACGTTTCGTTTTTTGGAGATTTTTTTAGGTTTTTTTAGTAAATATAGTCGAGGTTTAAAGAGGACTTCGTAAAAATTCCCAAAAGTCAAGGTGGACTTCGTTTTTTGCATTTTCATCTAGCCACCTAGTGCCGAGCCCTGTGCTTAATTACGAGAGGAGTGTTGCTACAATTACCTTTGTAGCAGCTGTTGCGTCAGTTTTCCCCTTTATTGTGTCTGGGAATGTTTTCAATTAGTCAAATCACTGCAGCTTCCCCAGTACAAATTAAGCTCGGATCACGAAGACGAAAATGGTGCTCGAGCAAGTGGTCTCAAATCTTGTAACTGTGCTTTATTCACTTGCGTTTTGGCTCCGACAACAAAAAAGCGGCAATCGTCCTACAGATGTATGCATTCAGTTATGGTTAATTGGCGAAGAAATTTGCAACTGTGGATCACTGCCAATTGTACAATACCGCTCACATTTTTTGAAAAATAGACGCGAATGTATGGACATGTATGGACATGTACGGACATGTCCATACATGTACGGACATGTCCATACATGTATGGACATGTCCGTACATGTCCGTACATGTCCATACATGTATAGACAGTTTTTTTTTCAATTTGTTCTGCGGAGGTCCTTTCGCGAATATGTGAAGCAACGCCTACCCAACATAGAAGACTTTACTAAGTACTATTCGATAATACTGTTCTTGTAGATTATTGTGCGCTGAAAAGTAGGCTCAGACTTCTTTTCAAAGGAGATAGAAGCGTTGGAAATTTTGGACAAATCACGCGTTTTTAAATTCTACTCGCCATAACTTCCTTCGGAACATATTTTTAATCCGAAAACAGCGCCTTGCTCAGCTCATCAAGGCGAATCTTCCCATATACAGCTTGTCCTTGATATTTCGATTTCAGTATTCTTGAATCTTTCTGAGGACGTCTTTTCGCGAAGATGTAAAGCAGCGAGCGTTGTCCCGAGTACATTCCAGCAAGGATATTTCGATAGCACTTTTTCTGTAGATTATAATGTGCTAAATAGTAACCGCAAGTTTCTTTTCAAAGGAAGTAGAACGGCGAGTGAATTGTGGAAAAATCTTGTCGTCCCAATTTCTACTCGCCATATCCGCAGGATACGAAGCTATCTTGATAAGCAGATGTGAGTTTCGAAATCAGCAGGTCGCATAACCTCTACGGGCAAGTTTTCTGATATGTTCGGGTTATTCCATTTTTTCTCGTTTTACGCTCCGGAAGCTCGCCGATGGTGGTCAAAATGTTGATGTTCTTGAATTGTAGGGAAACTTCGCTTATAGAGGTTTTCGAACACGCTCTTTACGAAAATCGTGGTTTTTGAGGATTACAAGGCCTTTTTGGAGAGATACGGTGAGGTGACTGTAACTGCATCAGGAAGGTGCGTAATTTTGGCCGCGCTTCTCGCGTATCTGTCAGAAACCTTGCCTGCTTGCTTTTCTCAGTCAAAGTTACTAGGAATTGTGCTATCGAATGGTGCATTACTCAGACTCCTCTGTGAAATTCGCCGAGTTACGAGCCTACAAAAACATGATCTCATGAATTTTGTCCAAAATGTAAAGATCGCATATCTCGTCGACATTCCTCCGTGAGCGCTTGTATGACGCTCGTTGCAGACATTATGTTCGCTTCGTCGAACGACTCCCACTGCACT